TTTATTCATGTGTACTTCCTTAAAACATACTAAAGTATAATTTAAAAGGTATATTACTTTAAAAATACACTTTGAAAAATGCAAAAAAGTATATTTCAGGTGTATTTCCAGCCATTCATGTACAGATGGGAATGAAATATGAATACAGCTACAATCCCCTCTGAAAGTATCGCAACAGGAAGGCCAATTCTTTTCTTTTTGCTATACACTGATGACATTTGGGTTTGAGATCAAAAGATGAATATGAGACAATAGATCAGAATTTCCGCTTTCATTTCCTGATATATACATCTAGATGTATTGAACAGCTTAGAACAAGGCACCTTTTGTTTGAACCCACCCATTTTTCAAGTGATCAAAAATATTGGAACATGACTGACGGGTGTTTCCTGTTATACAGGTGTGTAAATGATTGTTTAAAAAAATTAATAGCTCTGAATGTCTACTCTTGGTTTGAGCCCTGGGTTTACCGACATGGTTTTACCAACATGAAGACCGGAGACCTGTCTATGGGAGAAAAGCAAGCCATTTTGAAGCTGAGAAAAGAGGGAAAATCGATTGCACAAGCATTGGGCATAGCCAATACAACAATTTGAAATGCCCTGAAAAAGAAAGAAAACACTAGTGTATTAACAGCCAGACATCAAACTGGTCTGCCAAGGAAAACAACAGTAGTTGATGACAGAAACACTGACAGCATTGAAGAAAAACCAAAAACACTAGCCAGTATCATCACCAACAACCTCCACAGGGCAGGGGTGATGGTTTCACAGTCAACCATTTGAAGAAGACTTTGAGAGCGGAAATATAGATGCCATACCACAAGATGCAAACCACTCATCAGCAGTAAGAATCAGAAGGCCAGATTGAAGGGAGAAACCCCCCAAAACAAACAACAAGCCTGGAAATGCTTCACAAAAGAAGAATGCAACATACTACCACCAGACCAACTTAAACATATGAATACACATGTACTGTATATGAAGCATTACACAACATAGGATATACCTCTGTTCTGTTGTTCAGGTTTAGTCATGTTGAGTTTGTTTAGATTCCATGGGAAATGTAGCATATCTCAAACGCTATTGGCCAGACATCTTTCATGCCCTTTAACATTTTCCTTCACATACATCAACATATGGAAGCAAATCATTGTGATGACTTTTTAATGAAAACTTATGAGACCTGTAGTTTAGATCTTAGCATGTTGAAGGGTAATGCCTATAAGTAGCTTGCCACTGTTAGCCTTGTGTGCTGTGATATAGAGCTGCATAAAGCACTGGGCACTATAACACTTACTTTGAGGCATCCATGAACAGCTAACCCTATCACATTCAACATACACTTGTGTTTTAGCTACCTAGCTAACATTAGCTAATTACTGCACTGTGCCTCTCTGTTTGTGCATCACCTCCCTGACACCTTATAATTGCTTAGTCTGTGGCTCTAAATTCTCTTTAACTATTTATGTTCAACTTATTTTCACAAACTTTGCTTTATTAAAAAGAACTCAATTTCTTCATATCGGTATGTTTTCAGACAATATAACTGTAAATAAATGTGCACTGTTGATAATTTAATTTGGACTAACTGCCAGCAAAGCATTGTGATGTAATCTTTTTCTTTTTTTTTTTGACAGAAATGATCATAGAGAGTTTTACTGCTATTGATATATTTGAAATCTTCTACAACACTTAATTATAATAATAGCCTAAAAATAATACATCTGAGACAAGAAAGTACATTGAGATACTGTGGTGGGATCTGTGGTGGGATCTTAAGTGAGCTGTGCATAAACAAATGCCCTCAATATGAACTGAAGCAATGTTGTAAAGAAGAGTGGGCCAAAATTTCTCCAAAATGATGTGAGAGACTTCAAGTTATTGTTGCTGGTTCTACATGTTAATGAATTATAGGATGTACTTATTTTTTCCACCTGGTTTCTGAATGCTGGTTTACTTTTAGGGAAAAAACACATTAAAATCTTTTGTGTTTTTTTGTTGTCACCTGCGGTTACTTGTTTGTTTATAGAAGTTGGTGAGAAGTTGGTGGTAACAATTGTTATTTAGGCCTTAATAAATAAAAATATAAATTATATTTAAGGAGGGTGTACTTTTTTCCATGAGTGTATTCTAAAACTAGGACTTTGCCCTCCTGTTTTTCATATAATCAGTACACATTCTTGAGATATTATGTTCCTATTATGGGCTCCTCAACTACTTTGAAGCAAATGGTCCTTATAAGGAACCTTTAAAATTATTATTGTAATTATAACATTGTTAGTAGTATCATTACTTTCTTTATTATTTAGCAGCATTGTTAGTTGGCATTTTCTTTTTTGTCTTTTTCTTTTTCCTCCATCATAATATGTCTTATGGGGCCTGACAGCATGTAAGTCTATTGAACTAGATAAAAACATCACGATACCACCCAGCCATAAAAACAGAAACACACAATAGTGGATCATAAACCTTAACATTCATATTATGACCAAATCAGTCCAGGTCCCTAGAACATTCCAGGTATTAAAAAAATTGTGTTTGTTGGACAAGGATGTTCTGTTTGAATGTACAGCAGTGCAGTGTAAGATAACAAGCAGAATGAGAATGTGTTGCCTCATAAGTGGAACTTGTTTGTAGGCATGAAGTTTGTGAAATATTATTATTCTATATGGGAGCAGGAAGCAGAGATGGTTGCATGATGAATGGTCATGGGCTTCAGCAGGACCATATTTGTATTCGAGATGAAAAGGTTCACTGAGTATAATAACCGCGACTGCAAAAGATATGCTCAAATATATGCGCAGAGATGCTGCAGTTGTTTGGGCTGCATTGGAAACCCATACATAAAAACAGGGGGCACAGAAGACTGTTAAGGCCAAAACTACAAACCCTTGAAAAAGGGGCATTCATATGGGACAGCTGGTGGAGCCATTTGAGTGGTCTTTGTTTTTATTAGGTAATTTATTTCTCTTTGTCAAAACAGCCAAAGCTGGTACACTCTTATATATATTGATTTAAAAGTGGCAGGTATTAACAAATCAGCAAGGCCAGGGGTGTCCAATCTTATCCACAAAGGGCCAGTGTGGGTGCAGGTTTTCACTCCAATCAAGCAGGAGCCACACCTGATTCCACCTGTTTAATCAGTTGACCTTGGCTTTCTATAGACTCAGGAGTGGCTTTTGCTTGGTTGGAATGAAAACCTGCACCTACACCAGCCCTTTCCGGATTGGACACCCCTGAAAAGAACTTCTTTCTTGCAAATCATATGACAGTGGTAGAATGAACCTACAGTCAGGGCTTTTACTAGGTTCTGTCTGAGCATAATTCATATTTTAATATTTCCTTTTCTTGTGCTCCACTTCCATCAAAACTTAAACAAGCAAGAGCAAATTAAAACCAGGTGCTCATCAGGTGCTGGATCAAATGTGAAATTCTGCTAAATTGTTTTTTCCTTATGCATCTAAACAAATGTTATAGCTCAAATAAACATCATTAGTCTGGTGTTAACTTTAATGCTACACTTGGTAGTCTAATGAGTGCATTGCATCAACAAATAGGCCTCTATTCATAGCAATAAACTCCATAAACTCCAATAAACTGCACGTAAACCTTTCTAGTCTCTGCATCTTATCTAAAACAGACAAGCATCGGCTTTTCCAAAGCAGGTTACCATACAACCCCCTGCCATATATATATATATACAGTATATATATATATATATACATACACACACACACACACACACATACACACACACAGTACTGTGCAAAAGTCTTAGGCACATGCAAAGAAATGCTGTAGAGCAAAGATGCCTACAAAAATAATGAAATTAAATGTTTCTACATTTTAAAAATACTATAAAGAGCAGTTAACAGTAATAAATGAAACAAAGTCAATATTTGGTGTGATGATCCTTTGCTTTAAAAAAAAAAAGTAGTCTTAGGTACAATTTGTGCAGGTTTATAAGGAAATTAGCTGTAAGTTTTACTGAGCATCTTGCAGAACCAGTCACAGTTCTTCTGGAGACTTTGACTGTCACACTCGCTTCTTATTTTTGCAGTAAAACCCAGCAGCCTTCGTTATGTTTTTTTGTCTGAAAAGTGTCTCTTATGTAATATGCTGCTTTCTTTACTGACATACAAACATTGTTCTGTAAAATTTAATTTTGTGCTGGAAAACTAGTGTTTGGAAATCTAAAATGTTTTTGTACTGAATCAATAATGTAGAAGTCATAAAATAAAAATCTATAACAAAGTTTGTACTAAAAAAATAGGGTGCCTAAGACGTGCACAGTACTGTATATATATATATATATATATATACACATATACACATATATATATATATATATATATATATATATATATATATATATATATATATACACTCCAGTTTCTGCAGTGACAGTTTGAACAGATCAGTGCTGATCAGCTCAGGAGAGTAAACAGTGTTTTTAATCACTTTCTAATTACCGTTCCTATTAAAATTATTTGTAAAGTGTTTGATTTGACACTTTGTTTTGTTTTCTGTTGCCACAATAACACACATAACATGTAATCTCAGTAATATGAATATGATTTTAATAAGGAAAAAGATGTTCATTAGGTTACATAAAGTTTCATGGTGGAACAATACTTTTTAATATTATCTCTCTAGTAAAAATCTAAAATTGGTCAAATAATGTGAATAGTTAAAAGTCCATTTTATTAAAAACATATTCTACTCCAACCCTCACTATGTATTTTAAAACTAGGACTTTGTGTTCCTGTCCTTCATATAATCAGTACACATTGCTGAGGGGAGAGATGTTGGGCGCTTCAGGAGAAGCACCCTTGGGGGGGAACCCGGTCAGGTATTTCCCCCTCTTGCTGAGTATCAGAACACTCAGCGTGTTTAATCTATTTATGTTAAAAATTCATATGAAAGTGTAACTTCTGTCACATGCTCACGTGGGTTGGGTTATTTTTCTGGGTTATTTCATATTATGTTATCTAGGGTCCCTAGAGGACCAGTGGCTAGGCCACGGCACTCTCACCACTGTGGTCCGGGTTAGATTCCCGGCCACTGGGGTTGCACATGACAGTGGACAGCCGGTCCCAAGCCCAGATAAAATTGGGGAGGGCTGCATCAGGAAGGGCATCCAGTGTACAAAAACTGTGCCAAATCAAATATATGTGGACCAATGATCTGCTGTGGCGACCCCTAACAGGAACAGCCAAAAGAAGAAGAACAACATTTCATATTATGTTAACCCTAATTTTGGGTAATTAACAAAACATTATCGTCAGGTTGTCATGAGAACCCGGTGTTTGGTTTCATTTATTCATCCAATGAAAAGTGAAAACAACCAACCATCTGGGTCAGTTTTGCTGCTGTACCGTCACTGGATAGAACACAAAGCCACTGAGTTTGTGTTTAGAGATTTAATGCGTGGCTTAATTTGGTCCCAGAATACATAAATATAGATAGCTACCATTGTGTGAAAAGAAATAGGCGTAGGGTGAACTTAGCTACCACCATCAGCTAGCTAACATTAGTTTAATCCTTTATTTATTTATTGTTAGCTCATGACATTACTTGAATTTACTTAGGTTTTGTATCTATTGTTATTTAGCTAGCATCAAGCTAATTATTATAATAAAAGAAGCCTGCCAATTAGCTAGCTTGCTAATACAACTTCGCTTATGGTTTAAAACCTTCCAAACTACAAATCCTGTCTGGCCAAATTTCATGTCGACTAAAATATAAGGATTAAGGTTTAATTGTAACATCATTGTCCTTTTGAACAAGATACCTTGAACAGAACTCCTTGTTTTGAAAGGTTAAGTGTACATTTTTGGATCACGCCTCTATCCAAGAGGAAACAATCTTCTTGGATCAGAGTGGCAACATTTTCAAGGTCTGAAATTGGTGAGGCTTGAGACCTGAGAAAGTTGGGTGTCAATGTTGAAACTGGAGTTTGCACCCTTGCAGCATGGTCATCAGGCTTCACTGATGTGATGTAGTCACTGTGCAATGGGTGGTGTTTTTGGACATTAGGCATCCCACCAGCAACCCCTGCCCTTCACTGGTGGGATCCATATGTTACTTTTGAGGTGGGGGCACCGCTTAGGGCCCAACCCATGGGGGGACCAGAGGCATGATTTCATATGCTTGCAGCTCTGATGAGGCCTGTGGACCTTCAGAGGATGTTTGAGCATTGGTCCTGCTCTGGGTAACCTATTGGTGCTGTGATTCTACCACCCCTATATTATCCAGACTGCATTGGCTCCCAGAAAAATTTTGCATTGAGTATACGATAATATAAATGACCTTTAAAACACTGAATGGTCTTGCCCACAGTACTTGAGTGAACTTTTGGTCTTTTATGATCCACCACGACTGCTTCGATGAAAAGGTGCAGGCTATTTCTTGGTACCTATAATAAAGAAGACTACAGCAGGGGCCAGAACTTTTTCTTACAAAGCCCCACAGTTATGGAACAGCCTTCCAATTAGCGTTGAGGACTCAGACACAGTCTCAGTCTTTAAGACTAGGCTGAAAACCTATTTGTTAGTCAAACCTTTTGTTAATAGATTTTCCCTTAAGTAAAGGTACAGATCAGGTATGGAAGTAAAAAAGTGACAAAGATTTGAATTTTAAAATATGAATCTTTGAATACTGGAAAAAAAAAGATGAATTTCAAGAATGTTGATTCAAAATAAATAAGTACGTATGTGTGGTTTTCAACCTTATACTGAAATATATTAAAAATGTAATGGTATTTAATTTTCAATATTAAGAATTCAATGGCTTTTAAAATTCAAATCTTTTTTTTTTAAATTAAAATCTTTATGTCACATTATTAGCTCCATAATCTGGAGAATTCATGGGCAGAGTGTTTTGGTAAACTGGGATCTTTGAATGCTGTCTTATTTATTATACAGCTATACATATATTAAAATGCTGAAGTCTCATTTATTATACAGTGGATAACTTCACCTGGATATTTTAGACTTAAAATGTCCCTGATTCTTATACTTAAAATCTTTCCAACACACTTAGTACTGCTTAACTCTGTAGTATACAGTTGTAGAATAGTATTGATTTGTATTCTCATTATCTAGTGTCACCCAGAAGAGGATAGGTTCCACTTTTGAGTCTGGTTCCTTTTAAGGTTTCTTCATGTCATCTCAGGGCACTTTTCCTTGCCATCATCACCTATGGCTTGCTCTCTGGGGTTAAAGCTAAATCTATATCTATATCTGGATATCTCTAAAGCTGCTTTGGTGCAATGTCAATTGTTAAAAGTACTATGTAAACAGAACTGAATTGAATTGAAGCTGATCTACTTTGTTCTGTTGGCTTTGCAATTCCACAGGCCCAAAGAGCAGCTCAGGCACAAAGGACAGACTTTTCAGGTTTGATGCATGCTTCCAGCAGTGTGGACTGTGCTAGCCACACTCAGAGCTGCATAAAACGTATTGGCAGAGAGTGATACAATGCAGGGGTTTACAGGTGGCATGAGGATCAGGCTGATCCTGTCAACACCTTACATACTAGCCAAGACTTGCACCACGGGGCCTTGGTCTTGGTTTATAGCTGATGGTCTCAGAAACCTAACTGTCAATATAATCCTTGTCTTGAGGTACACTGAATTCAGTGGCAAAGAACATGTTCGGTTTTATGGGTTGAATCGCAGTGTTTCACCCTATTTCAGGTAGACAGTGATCATTAGTGGGGTTTGTGAATAACATCCTCCTTGGCTTGGTTGAACCTCCTTCAGGGGTTACAGAACACATTCTGTAACCCTATGCCTCTCAACATCATCCAGTATGGCAAACCTCATCAGTGACTATCACCACTCTCTGCTCCAAAACAGAAGAGAAAGACCTGTTCTATGAGCCGCTGCATGAAGCTTTTTCCAAGCTCCCAAGCACTGAAGGTTTTTACCTACTTGGTGACTTCAATGCTAGAGTTGGAGCTGACAATGAGGCCTGGCCCAGAACTCAGCTGTCTCTGATTTTGGGAAGCAAAAGCACAAAAATGGCAACTGGTATGAAGTAAACTGAGAGGAAATACAACCAGTGACAGAGGCCAAGAGAAAAGCATTGATCACTTACAAGAATAACCCCAACCCAAACTCATGTAAGGCTCTCAGGTCAGCAAGAAGAAAAGCCCAGCAGACTGCATTATACAAACAGACATTGGGAGAATCTATACAACTCCATCCAGAAAGCTGCAGACAGGGGACACTAAACGAATGTATGAGGGCATAAAGAATGTCACCAGCCCCACAGTCAAAAAAACAGCCCCACTGAAATCCAAAACCGGCCATCTCTGACTGAGGCAAACAGCTGAAACGTTGGGTCGAGCACTACTTGGAGTTGTATGCAACCCAGAGCATGGTCACAATTGCTGCCCTAGATGACATCCCAGATATGCCAGTCCTGGAGGAGCTAGACTTATTGCCATGCCTGTTACTTATTTTCATTTTGTTTCATATTGTTTCCACATATTAAATGAAAACAGAATGGATGAAATGAGTAATAAGGTACTTTTGGTTTATCTGTTCACTTTCTCCTCTCCCCTGTCAGTTAAGAATTCAACAGCTTTGTGTTCTAGTTAGTGACCTAAATGTTTGGTTATTATCACATTCCAGCAGAATAATGAATCCAAATGCTGGGTTGTATTGGCATGGGGAAGAATGGCCGCATCTACATTTTCTGCTCTATCAATCAGTCTGAACTAGTCACTAAATCAGTGGCTGGGTTATACAAAAACTAACAAAAACTTTGAAAATAATCCAATAACCCAGGGTTTGAGTAAAATATATAAAGAAGCATTTTTTACACTATAGCCCCCAACACTTCAACAGGAATGCAGCCTGATCAAGTCACAGGATTGTGCTAGCAAGACCAAATCAAATCATGTCCAAACAAAACTCCTTCAGACATTGTGCTAAACATCAGAGCAATACTAGGCAATCATGGGCATCTGTATGCTTATGTGTGCTCATGTAAGATGACAGTTAGCATCTCCTCTGAGTGTGTTCAACGGCCCTGTGATATAGCATGAGCAGCAGTGCCTGGGTTCTCCTGAATTAGAGGAAGAATGTGTTAGTCCTCACCCTCCCTGATTGGTAGCTATTTTGGGAGAAAGCGTGGTGAATCATATGGTATTAATCTGTCCATCTCACTACAGTCTAAATGTAAACCAGTAAAAGTTATTTTTATACTGAACAATATTATATTGAATAATGACAGGCTTTGGATGTGGAATCAAAAAAGCATCAGCATTTTTCATTGCCAAGCCTTAATGTAAGAATAGAGAATAGCAAAAGCAGCAGTGTATGCTTCATAGAAGAGGTTTGTGTGTGTGTGTGTGTGTGTGTGTGTGTGTGTGTGTGGTGGGGGGTCTGTCCTGCCCGCCCTGCGAGGTTCTGTGTCCTTGCCAATGTCAAGCACTTGTTTATAGATTTGATCCACCACCCATTCAGCACAGCAATGCTGGGCCTGATCAGCTTTTTATGTTGGCTTAATCTTGTCAGCTTTGACAGTGAAACCTGATATACTCTGTTCTTTTCAGCAACAGAAATGACCTGCTTCTCAGCCTATTCAAACAACTGTGATTCTTGCAGAATCCATAATCATTTCTATTAAGAATTTGAACGTGTGGGATATTCTGAAGTGAAGGCACTATTCTGCATTCATCCGAACATAAGCTGGCCCATATGAATACAGAATGGCCCCATTACATTCCAGCGGCTTCTTCTTTTTTAGTTGACTGAGAAATGCATAAGGAATAGAATGAGAGAGAGAGAATCTTTTACAATTTGAAAGAGAGAGCAGAGACTATTGGTCTGAGGGGGAGACAAAGCAGTAGGATCTCATATTAGCGCAAAGTCACAAAGACTGCTCTGCAGAGAGCACTTAATGAAACCATTTGTAAAAAGAGTATATATCTCTCTCAACACTGTCTGCATTAGAGGGCATTCATGCAGAAATTAAAAAAAAAAATTGGATGGAGACTTTGAGCTTAAATGCATCTAAGGTACAATTTTGTCAACATAAGTTGCAGTTATAATTACTT